TGTAATACGTATGGAGAAACCATGTTATTTGTGTTTGAGATTCTTGTTATGAGTTGTTTGTGAAAAGTTGCAAGAACCATATGGACAAAGGGAGTAAACCTTCCAGAAGTGATTCCATCTGTCTAAAAAGGTCCTAGTCTAGGATTTCTGACTGACCCCATGAAAAGTGGGGGACATCTGTTGGTACCATTTTGAGAGTGACAGACTCAAGCTGAATGACAATAGGGAAGCTAGAGATTCTTCATTTTATTTGGGGGTAACTTGAATCCCCTTCTAGCCTTAGTTGAATTAATCCCATTTATTGACCTTGATTCTGGAAGGGAACTCCATTTCTTTTTGTTTATATGCTATATTTAACATGGCTTTCTGTTGCATCGGAAATGGCTTTGAAAAAAAGTTTGTGCAAGGAAAACAGAAGAACAGTAACAAAACAAAACAAGAGGAGAGGCCCAATTAGGCTTCCAGTCTCCTTGCAGGTTCTGGACACTGAAGGCTACTCTGAGAGGTCCATTGGCACCACTGGAAAAAGACAGAAGCAGGTAATGACGCTGTCCCAAGATCACACTGTTATGGCCTCTCTTTCCTGGACTCTCCAGGAGATCTGCTGTGAATTGCGTTTTTTAAAAAAGGGTCCATTTTCGGACTCCATTTTATTACTAGGAGAATTCTAACAGATTTATGAGTTAACAGTTTATTTAAAGTACAATCTAAATGAATATATTTGCTTTTATGTTATTTTTATGCATTAGTCTATCAATGTATAAATTGGATCAAAACTTCATTTGCCTCTGGAATTCCAGAAAATAGCTGGCCAATAGGGCTCCTCTTGGTGTTTTCTTCCCCTATTATTCCTTTATCCTTATAGATTGACCCAGTTTTGGGGTGTACCACATTTCATTTATCCTTTTACTTATTGAAGGATATTTTGGGTTGCTTCCATGGTTTGGCAATTATGAATATAGCTTAAACAGTTTGTTTATTGTTTTGGTCATTGTGGGGCTTGAACACTGGGCCTGGATGCTGTCCCTCAGCTCTTCAGCTCAAGGCGAGCGCTCTACCATTGAGCCACAGAGCCACTTCTGGTTTTCTGGTGGTTTATTGGAGATAGGAGTCTCACAGACTTTCCTGCCTGGGCTGGCTTTGAACCATGATCCTCAGATTTCAGCCTCTTGAGTAGCTAGGATTACAGACATGAGCCACTGGCACCCGGTTTTAAACAGTTTTCTAAAACTGTTATTGTAACTTAAAAAAAAAACAACTGTTTCCATAGTTTTGTTTTCTCCAGAATATCATCTACTTGGAATAATATGTAATCTTTTGATACTGACTTTTCAAAAATAACGGATATGTATATTTTTCCATGGACCAATGAACAACTTATTTCTTTTGAACACTGAGTAACATTCCAGCGTGTGGTGTATCCTATTTCATTTATCCATTCACCACTGAAGGAATTTTGGTTGCTTCCATGTTTTGGCAATCATCAATAAAGGTGCTATAATATTCATGTATGGGCTTTTGTGTAGACATATTTTCATCCCCTTTGAGTAAATAATAAGAAGTATAGTTGCTGCTTTTTTATGTTGGCAAGAGTATGTTTAATTTTACAAGAAAACTATTGATGGGTTCACATGTTGTGTTCCAACCAGCTATGAATGGGTGTTTCTACTTCTCCACATCATTGCCAGCATTGGCTGTTGTTAATATTCTGGCCACCCTTACATGTGTATGGTATCTCACTGCTGTTTTATTTTTCAATTCCCTGACAGCATTATACACAGCTTCTTGGTACTTTATTTTTTTCCTAGCAGATTATAAATTCCATGAAAAGAGGAACTATATATGTCTCATTCACCATTCTATTTTTAGACTCTATGATAATTTCTGGTACTTACTGGATTCTTTGTGAGAATATCTGAGCAATTGAATGACACTGTCAGGAAGCTGAGTCTATGCTCATCAAGCTACCTCTGTCTATCCAAATGTTTCTCATCCTTCATTGCTTTTAAAAAAATAAACAATTTCTTACCTGATGAGTTGCTTCAAAACTTGGTCATGAGTGCAGGAGCTTAGCTCTTCTTGCTCTGTTTATATTTTAGAGTTCTTTCATTAGTTTTCCAGTTCTTCTTAGTTCTCAGCTCATTCCTAGCCTCTTCTCTACCATAGATCTTGCCTCCTCCTTCTCTGCGGCCTGGACCAGGGAAGCTCGGATACAGACAATTCCCCTTACTTGAGTTCCGTTCTCAAACTCTTCAGTTTCTGTGTCTACCACACTAATGAGAGAAGCTTGACTACACATGGTAGAACTCTCAATGCAGAAGTAAGGGGAGATGAAGCACTGTTTTACTTTCTCATGCTCCTCTTGTTCCCTCACAGATTGAATGTTCATTAATGATACCTCACATCGTACCCTTTCTCTCAAAATTAGGTATATTTGTTCCTGCAACAATATTATGTCTTGTGACCTTCCAGGCCCTACCTGAGGCTCCAGGAATACCAGCCAGATTTGTTTGCCCTGCAGTAGATGTGAAAGTATTCCTTTCATTGACATTCTTAAAATAAGCCATCTGACAATAACTTTTGGTTCTGATTATGTATTTTTATTTCAATTTTTAGGAATAATGTAATTTGGGTTCATTTTTTTTGTTCTACTGTGATTAGATACCTAACATAACCAATGTAAAAGGAAGAAGGGTTTATTTGAGTTCATAGTTTCAGAGGGTTCTGCCCATGGTAGCTTGGCCCTGGGTGCTTGTGGAGGATACAATGGAGTGTGTGGCTGTGGGAATTCTTTACCTCATGGCAGACAGGAAGCAGAGATAAGGGACTAGGGACTATGTATAACTTTAAACAATCCTCAGAGTATTACTTCCTCTATCTGGGCTTTATCTCCCAAAGATTCTTCAATCTCATGAAATAGCACCAATAGCTGAGGATTGGATAGACAGCACAGGGGTCTGTGTAGGACACTTCATATTGAAACCATGATATAAATTTGTTTCCTTATGTTACCTCAGTTTGAGGACAAACAAGAGTGGAGGTCTTGGATACTGGCACTATGATGGCCCAGACACCAATGACTGTTTCTGAGGAAACACCAATATCCCAGGAGATCCTGGTGCATAGCTCCCTGCTTTGTTGTCCTGCCCTGCTTTGATGTTGTTGGCATTAATTCCACTCTTCCTGTTGAAGCAAGGGCAGTGGAAATGGAATTAGGGGTAACTTATGCCTGAGTTGACTGTAGCATCCCTAGTGATAAGGAAGGGATCTACAGAAAACTGAGTTACATGGAGTCCATTAGGGAGAGCTGTTTCTAGTGTCAGGTCATCCTATGTTTACAGAACTGGAAGAAGCTATGGCCTCAGAGTGACATATTTTGCTGTAGGTTATCTTTTGTGCCCCAGAGAAATTTTGGTGGTTGAGCTTTTTTTTTTTTTTAAGAAAAAAATGCATTCAAGGATGAGTACTTCTGGGTCATATGGAGGCTGAGATCTGGAGGATCATGGTTCATGATCAGTCTGGACAGGTATATTTGCATGACTCTATCTCCAAAATTATTAGCAAAAAGCTGGGTTGGAGGTATGGCTCAAGTGGTAAAAAACAGCTGAGCAATAAGGCCAGACAAGTGTGCAGCACTGAGTTCAAATTCCATTGCCAGCAAAAAAAGAAAGATGCATTCATATTACTGATACTTATAATATTTATAGGATTTTAATGAGGGTTCTGCTTTGATTTTGTATGATATTGGTATGAGGAGAATCTGGTTGAATTTCTATGCCAGATAATCGAAGCTCAGGAAAGAACTACAGCAGTAGAGGGAAAGTAGAATTTCATAGCAAAAGCTGAAAGAGGGAAAGAAAGTTCTAACAACATGACCCCATCCCCAGAGCAGAAGCCATCGGCCAAGCTCCTCTGAGTCATACAGACAGAGATAGGCAGTTTTGTGTTATGCTTTGGATGTTGGTCTTAAAAGTTTTCTTTTATAATTTGGAAAAATCAACAGAATCTTATATGTTAATATCTATAAATCATAGTTTTTCAGAATGAAGAGCTATGTAACATTTAACATTAAGGTTTTTATATCCTAACTTTCAAAGAAACACTATAGTATATCACAAAATAAAGTCACACTCCCAGTAACCATAGTGGTCTAAGGGCTCTTTTCCCTTTTTCCCTTTTCTTCCTTTCCCTTCCCCTCTCCCTCCTTTATTCTTCTCTCCCCTCCCTTCTTTTTCTCTTGTGTCAGTAAGGGGGTTGAATTCAGGACCTTGTGATCTTGCTTAGATTTCTTCTGTTCAAGGTTTGTGTTCTATCACTTGGGACACAGCTCCACTTTGGCTTTTTGGTGGTTAACTGTCCAGGAGGGCTTCAAGCCATGATCCTCAGATCTCAGCCTGATGAGTAGCTGGGATTACAGGTATAAGCCATTGGTACCTACCTTTGGTCTGTAGATTTGAAGAGGACACAAGTGGTTTTATCCATCTTGCTGTTGTTTTTAATGTATTTATAATGTACCATATGATTTTTTTGTTTCTTTAGTATGTTCTTCCCACAGTATAACCCCTGTTTTCATTGTATTTAATTTCAGTGCCCTACATCTTGCATATACATTTTTCTAATTTGGGGATGGTAAGGGAAATAACAAAATGCTGAAACAAGGATACAGGATGACCCATTGTAACAATGAGATGTACAAGACACTATGTTGACAACGAACTTTACAACTTCGGTGGTGGGGAAAGAGTTGGGTAGGTGGGGCGGGAAGGGTGGTAGGAGAAAAACAAAGGTGGAGGTAACAATGCTCGATAGGAAATGTACTCATTACCTTATTCATGTAACTGTAACCCCTCTGTACAGTATTTTTACAATAAAATATATATGAAAAATTAAATTAAATTAAAAAAAGAAATGATGTGAGCTCTGACATCCCACCCAGGAAGGGAGCTATATTGTCAACTCAAATTGCTCAGTACTTATAGAAAACCACACTTAAGACACCATACGCTTAACACTTATCTTTATTATGAAAGTGTTTCCAAAGTAAAATGATCCTCATAATAATGATTGCTTCCAGAGATCAAGAATGAATAATTACATTTTCATAGAAAAAATCAGCAAAACGCAACAACAACAAATGAAATAATTCTAATTGGTTAACAGTACATCATTCCATTTCTGACAGAGATGCTCAAGTACTGAATTTTCTTTACAAAACAAGTAAGGTTCTATTACCTATCCTATTTCTCACTGAAAGTTGAAAAAAAAATCAAATTCAAAACCTAACCATCACCCCCTTCCATGACGACAAATGGCTGTGACAAAATGACGGTGGTGTGAGCAACGAGAGGACCGGCTCTGAGCTTCCGGGTCTTACGAACCTTAGGAAAATAAAAGCTGGAGGCTCTTTTCCACACTTAATAAAACTTCAAATTCCAAAAGCATCACACAACTGCTCCTATTGGAGAGCTAATTTTTTTGTAGTTAATCTTTAAAAATCCTTATCTTTAAGAGCAGTCATATAGACTCTTTCACACAATTATTGAAGATAAAAAATACCAAATCAGCATGAAATTTAATTATTTTACCCAACACAGAATCCATAATTAATAGCTGATGTTCCTGGTTTTCAGGCTACATAACAGACACCAACAAAAGAAGCCAAATGTTTGTAAATCTGTGTTAGGGAAACATATATACACAAACATGATATTTTTTCTTTGTTGTTGTTTTTGCTCATAAAGTTGGGACCAGGTAGGGAGACATTACTGGGAAACTTAAAGCTGGCTTTCTCCTGTCTTCCTTTTTGTTAAGAGTTCTAGAAGGTTTGAAGGAATGTGAGATAATTGAGACAGATGTGAAGCTAACAGGCTCCTTCCATCTCTTTCTATGCAATCATGAGAATGCCCCATTTCCTGGAGAAGCCACGTACTACCTCGCTACAAACACTTTAAGTTTCTTTGACCCAGTAGGGTCACATAAAAAATTATTGGTAATACATTTTCTTCAAAGGCTTTGTGCTGAATTCAAGTTACAAACACCTGGAAAAGACTAAGGCTTTCCTTTTGGCTGTCTTCTGATCTCGTGGTAATACTTAGGTTGTTTCAATTTTCTTCATAACAAAAAATGCATCAGGTATGTGATCTTTTAGTATTAGAGAAATTAGAGCAGCAGAGTTGCCCAGGGCTCCTCAGCATCCACTGACCGCCCCCTAGGGATAGGTGAGCATCATGCATACCAAGGTTAATGGTCCTTCTATGACCTATCACAATTTGGGAATGGCATGATTTCACCAAGGGAAACCAAAGCTGACTTGGGGACAACAATATGTTTAAGAAAAGGAAAATCTTTCTTCATTTTCCTTAAGAACTGTTTGTGATCAGCAAACTCATTATGTCACTCTTTTCCCAGTATGCTGGATAGCAAGTACAATAATGAGAGATTCTTGAAGCATTTCCTTTTCTATACAAGTCACAGAGCATCATATCATCACTGATCCATCAGGTCAAATATGATCTCATTTCTTTCTTATATGAATATTAGAAGTCTTTCTGGACTAGGGTCATTTATCTACAAAGCAGAAATTACCCAAAGATTGGGGGGGGGCTCAGTGATTAGAACCATAATACTCCAAATAATGCATAAAATGTAAACATTTAACCTTTCATTTCCAAAGGATTTCTTTAAGTCTCTCTAAATATAATGATATCACCACATATACCGATAAAGAGAACTTTTTAACACTTTGGAAGTTATTCTTTATATTTTTTTATACTTCAAATTAAGAAAAGCACTCAAATATTCAGGCAATTTTGGCATTTCCAAAAATAGTTATTTCCAAAATAACTACTAATGCAAAATTATGAGCAGCTTAGGGATAATCATATCTATAAATTTCTCTCTGGAGAGCTCTTTAACAAAGACTCACAAAAGCTGAGATAAAGCCTCTTTTCTTATTCAGCCCAAATAGCAATGAGATTGAAATACAGAAGTGAATATTCAGACTCTTTTTTGTTTGTTCAAATTCAAACTCAATCAAATATAACCATTTGTCACTAAACAACAGGGAGAAATGTGCTACTAGGTGGTTCTGTTTAAAGTATGATTGAATGAATTTACACCTAGGCTAAAGTATAAACTACCATATGCCTAGGCTGTATTATAATCCAATGGGACCACAGAAATATATGCAGTTCACCATCAACTGAAACATCATTATACAATTCAGATTAGAAAAACTGACTCAGAGAAGGAAGTTTGTTAACATAACTGGGGTCTTTTGAGGCTCACCTGTAATTTTTGACTAGAGATAATCTGATCTGATCTTGTTTCTTGCTTTTCTTCTCTGTCTCATTCATCTTTGTCAGATGCCTGTGACATTATCTAGTTATCTCTCAGGACAACATCTGTCTGGAAGCCCAGCAGTGATTATTAATAAAACTCTGTGGTTCATTGATGTCAATTTCATTTTTATAACAAACATTTGAATAGTCTAAAATACTGACAGATTGCTCTTCTAATCTCAACATCCACAGGGCTGAGTTTGGGAATTTGAACTGTATTGGGTTCTGTGTCACCTCAGGTCGTCTATGACCTGGACCTTAGTTGTTCTGTGGCTAAAAGCTGAACAGGTTCCAATACTCTCAACTGTGTGGGGAGTAAAAGTGAAGGGGATGGTGATGGATGGTATGTATGATGAGAATATGAATGAAGATGAGTCATTGATACTGGTTTTTATCCAGTTTGGGAGAAATATACACACACATACATAGATCACATACTTTTACATCACTTATTGACTCAAGGCCAAATTCTATTTGACTTTTCTACTTTTCTCCCTCTCTAAGAGATCTAGAAAAGCTATGAAAGCAAGGTTACTTTTTCTAGTGTCCTTTCTACATATCTCTTCTCACCTAGGAAAGGTGTGAGTGTGATCACAAGGGAGATTTCACCACAGGCTAATTAACAAGAACAATACTCTCACTATCCTATAGCTGAGTTTAATTTATACAATACACCTCCAAAAGCTATGGCCGGGCACAGGTGGATAAGATTCCTCACACAGTCTCTCTCTCAGTCTAATTGGGCCACCATGCAAGAACAGTAGTCAGAGTTAAGACGATTCTATGCCAGGAAAAGCCTACAACAATCCATTTAAATTACCCCAAAGAACTCTGCCTGAAAGTGTAAAATGAAATAAAATCTGTAGACATGAAAAAGACTGCAGAAAGTAAATGTCTCAGTTAAATAGACACTCAGAAAAACAGAGTATTCCTAGTCCTTCTTCTAAATTATTTCTGAGAAAAACAAAACATTGTTTGGATCTGCCTTTAACTAAAGATGGAATCAACTTACTTGATTTTATACATTTCTTCTGAATCTTGAATTTACAGTTGATTTTGAGGTTACTCTCCTGGGCAAAAGCATGCTATGTGTTTTAAACTTGAGCTCTCTGTGGTCCTCAAGTTCATTTCACCTATCAGGAAAACTTGCCCAGAAACTAGAATGAGGCTAACATATACTCTGTATCCTATTTATAACACCTTCTCAAAGTTTTCAGCTACAATATATTTGATACTTTTAGTACATCTGCACTTGAACAGGTGTTCTGATGACTAAATACTTCCAGTATTTCACAAACTCAACTAATTTCACAAATTCAACTATCCACCAGTTACACTCCTATGCATATGCCTGTTTTGTGAAATAAAATAGTAAGACTCTACAAGCAGAATTAATTGTTTTCTATATAAACAAGCAGACATACTTCAAAGCCTCTTCCAGAACTACCATGGACAATACCAGGAACACTATATTTTGGAAGTGGATGAAGAAAGATCTAATATTGCATGAAAGATTTTCGGGAATTTTCTGTTCACTATTAACTCATAGGCTGAAAAATGTGGGCACCTGAATTTAATTTTTTCCAAAACAAATTGAATTATCTCTAATATTCTGCTGTTGTCTGTACTGTGTTCTGACCACACATTCTTTTCACTACATTTTTATTTTGGATTCCTGTTTTAGGCAATAAAATTTTTGACCTATAAATATTTGTAATCCTATTACTTCCCTTTTGCTAAAACGGATAAGAGGTAAAATCTTTGGCTTACTTGATGCTTTTATGCATTCATAAGAAACACTGCTACACGTAGGAAGCTTATGCAAGCTTATATATATTATCCTTCAGTAATTTTCTTTCATGTTGATATTATCATTATCCAGTATAATGTCTGTTGTTCTGGAAATACCTCCAGTTGAACAAAGATTCATGTACACCTCACAACTCTTCAAAGAAGGAAATGAATTGGATGTAGAGTTACTAGAAACTGAGCAGCTTCAATCATTGTGAATGACCTTTACCAAGAAAAGCAATGGTAAAACAGGTCTTTTACCACCGGCTTTCTTTTGCTCAGCAAAATGATAACATCAAGTCAAATACTAGAGAGGGTTTTTTCTTGAGAGCTGTTGGTAGCAGTAAGGTGCTTTGCCTTGGAGGACAGCTTTGCCAACTCTTGGAAGATTCCTTTGTTCTACCTTAAAATATATTTAGCTTCTTTTTTTGTGATATGACAGAACACTGTGCTAATTATAAGGAGCAGTGGCAAACATGGCTGTTAAGAGTTTCTGTCCTTATGTTGTTCCCAGAACATGGGATAAATTCCTCATATGAAGAATAATTTCTTTATAATGATGAACTTAAAGCAAATTACATTACTTCTGAGTCAGAACACCAACCTCTTCCTAGAGAATTAAATCAAATTGAGGTTAACCTCCAAGGTTAACTCAGCCCACAATGATACTTGAGGGATCTTGGCTGTGTGCACAAGAAATGAAATCTACTCTAAATCGATTTCATACCAAATTCCAATAACTCTCCCGAGAACCACCCTCTTCCATTTGTACTGCTAATTGACCATGAAGAGTAACAATTTAAAAACCTAGTTCCTTCTGTTCAAACTTCCACTGGAAGAACGGTCATCACAACGGGTGGAGGCAATTTCAAGATGGGCACAATAAATAATAACACAAAGAAAGCCAATCTACTAGCGCTGTGTGAGGATTTTGCAGGATCTAACTGACAAACTAAGCCCACAGAACACGAGACTGTAGCAAGAGAGAGGGGTCGAAGCAGAGGAAGCACCTCTTTCACTGTCATGAGCCCAGAGAGTAAAAGAAATGAGGAAACCCTCTTGTCCACAGATTTACAAACAAATACAAATAAATAAATAATATTCTAAGACAGTACAAATGCAAATACTGTTCCCTTGTGTCAGTTACATACAGCATGCCTACATAGAGAGAATGGTATTTCTTCTTCATTCACAGACAGGACATATGGCAGTGCACTATTCAAAATGCTTTAATAATCCTAATTTTTGTTTCAGGTGATGAGATATTATGAAAGGAACTGCATTTGCAACTTATTAAATACTTCCAGGAACAAATAGTTCACTTTGTTCGGGACTTATAGTTTTGAATTATTAATCATCAATGGAACAAGAACCAGTCAGGAGATACCCGTTGGTACCACTGGTCCCGTTAGTGGTGGTTGTAGTATGGGGATTCTTCCCTGGAGGCTCCAAATCCTCCTCATCTGAACTGGACTCAATGTCACTTCGATCATCCTTAGCCACCTGTAGAACACAAGAAGAGGAATGTAACTGGTTCAAGGTCATCAAGGTATGGCATGCCAAGAAGGGCGTACAGTCTCACATAATTAAGAGAAATCCAAGAGGACAAGGTCATTGCTAGAGTAATAAGTTCCTTTTTGCTGGAGTGATTCACTGTGAGTGACAGTCAGATATGAAGGATTGCAGGTAGACGTAGACATAACAGAACTGGACTTGTTGACCTTTTCAAGATAACCTTTGATATTGAGAATGTCCTAAACCATGAATCCCATTTCTGTCTGCTAAAATTAATTAAGCATTTTTTATATGTCACCGAACAATGAATGGCATCAAAAGGCCCTCTATGAACCTTTTACATGAAGTCTAGCTTAAACTACCTCCAGAGGAAAACTAATTTACCAGATCTTCAATAACTAGCCTCCGGAATATTCCAATTCTGCAACCCTCCATTAGGTTTCATTTTGTGAGGAGAATGGCAAAACAATGCACAGGATGCAAGTCTGTATGCTAATATAAAGGATGGAAAAAAACCCTACCATCTAGCAAGGAAGTAACTTTATAGCAAATGTTATTTAAAAATAACATATCTTGAACCTAAATCTGAACCTCCTTCTCTATACGTCTATGTTACAGTCCACATTTTATCCAGCAGGTCTTAAGGCTTTCAAGCAACTGAGTCTTGTTTACTTAATTTTAAGAAGCTAGCCATAGGAGCCTACGCCTAGTTTCGTAGACATGCTCCCAAAATGTCTTCCTGTGACTCTAGGAGCTGGGATGGGCAGACTGGGCTGATAGAGCGTCTGGGAGGTATTTCTGGATTAATTGGGAGTTTCCTATATCATATCATACCAACCCCAAATTCTGGAATCTATCACTTGATAAGCCACCATAACTATGCGAGTACATAATCTCTCAAAGGTAGGTGGGGTCAGGAGAAAGTAAAAGCTGAGGACAACTGCTCCATTGATCAGTGATGGGCAGGACAAATGAGCCTTACTTCAATCCATGCCGTTTGATGTGAGAGTGAACTCACATAGACTATTCCCCAAATCTTAGATATGCAGACAGCATTATGACTAGAGAATAAGGATATCTCAGCTTAAAAGGCATGGGTTACAAAGACAGTGCTGTTATAAAGCCCCACTGCATTTATAAGTCCATTAGTCACAAATTAATTTGCTAATAGCAAAACTCCACTTGCAGAGTATGACTAATTTACATGCCTAGTAAGATTATTTTAAATTGCATCTGGAGAAAAAATGTATATTTATGTTACCTTCAAAGAAAGACCTATTTAGAATATCTCAAAATAAGCCACAGGAAAATTACAAGATGAATAGACAAAATGAGTAATCTCAGTGTCCTAGATGCAATTAGCATTAGCAGTTAGAAAGTTCAGAAGCCCAAGATCTGAAATGACATTAATGATAAAAATCTTCATAAAGGTGAAGGAATAATGGTCAGAAAGAAGGTGATATGACTGCCAGAAAGAGCCATGGGCGAGGAAAGACACTAATGGAATCCACCATATCCTGTGTGTTATTATTACCAGACTGATGGTATTGTGTCCATTGATTTAATTTATACCCAAATGAGGAAAAATTGTAATAGAAACATGTGTCCATTTGAAAAAGTAGGAAGTCATAGGGATTAATAAACTTCAGCTTCTAAACAATGAACTGGTCATATATTTTAGAATTAGGCCAGGGTTGCTCAGTGGTACAGCACTTGCCTAGCAAGTACGAGGTCTAGGGTTCTGTCCTCAGCACTGTATTGAGCAGATGCTGAGAACTGGTATCCTAGCACATGACTAGTTCGTTGGAGGTACCTGTGAAAGGCATGAGTTCTGTGGGCCTTGCTGAGTGCAGGGCTGTGTGCTGCCCTGAGGCTTTTCACAGATCAGACAAACGCCTGATGCCCAGGCCTCTCTTCTCCACTGTGTTAATCTTCTCGGCTAGTTTTATTTCTCCAACGTGACTTTCACCTATCTTTATCTCTTAGTCAACATACTAAACATCAGTGAGGAAATCCTTCTTCTTTGTTGGTCATGCAAAATTTAGCAGACTACGTGCTCATCAAGAGTACACTGATGGAGTTCTTTTTGGAAGTTAAGGGGAAGTATACTTCAAATAAAGCCTCAAGTTATTACCAACAGATTAGACAGAGCCATGTGCATGAAACACAAACATTTGGAACCCCTACAACAGGCAAAGAGTGAAACAAAGAGTGAGAAACTTACATGTAAAGGGTTCCACTTTCCAGCCTTCCAGGGGGGCAGGAGGAAGAGAACAAACAATGAAGTAAGAAAACATTACAGAGAACAATCTGGAAATGTCCATGCCTACAGCAAAGGGACTGAGGCTCAGGAAGCTATATTTAGGTTAGTCCCATGAGTCTGCTTAACCAGAGACTTAGCCAAATGTAGCTGGGAAAGACAATTCTTTACTCTGAGACATGTTTGCTTCAACGGGTATAGTGCCTTGAGAAACCCTTCTCATTAAAGAACTTACTACATTTCTATTCAGAATAAATATAATCAGAGAAAGGCTAAGGGAGATAGGAGAGAAAGAACACCACGAAGAATATAATCAAAGAAAGGCTAAGGGAAATAGGAGAGAAAGGATACCACGAAGAATATATACATTATACACCTAAAATTATACATGTAGATCTTTGGGCATACTCAACAAAGCTACCCAAAGACTTTAAAAAATGAACTCAACGTGTTTCTAGGTGACCTTGCTCAACTTTGAAGAAATAACACTGATTTTTATGAGATTTGAAATAACAGTTGTTTCACAGGAACCAAAAATATTTTAAAACTTCTGGGACATATTGCAAAGAATACATTTTAGCTTACCTTGCCTTTTGAAATAGCTTTGTAAGCTATTTTTACAATCAAGTAAGACCAGAAGCAGTTCAACCCTTGTATTAGCAACAGCAGTAGGTTAAACAGCCACCAGGAAGGGTAAGGTCCAACGATCTCCCAACTTTCAAATAATGTGCTATTTAACACCCTGGGAAGAAGAAACAAGTAATTACTGAGCACGGAATTTCACTCTGTGTTCAAAGGAGCCCCAGTTTCTTTCTGGAAGCATAGGGTCAATGATCTACCCACATGGTTCCCTTCCTTTCTGGGGGACAGCTGAAAGGCTAACTAGGCACGGAGAGAAGTCAGTTCCTGAAATATGGCCCTGGGGTGTGACGTTTGCTCATTCCAGCTCAAGTCGTATACTTTTCCCCTACCAACTCTTAAAAAGTGTGACAAAGTACATATAGCATAGGATTTGCCGTCTTTACTATTTTAAGTATGTAGCTCAGTGGCATTACATAAATTCACACTGTTGTGTAACCTCTCTCCTCATCCATCTTCAAAACTCTTTTATTTAGGAAAATAAAACACAGAGACTCTGGACTTACTAGACAATAATTCTCCGTCCTCTCTACCTAAGCATCCACCCATCACTTGACTTGCTGTCTCTATGAATGTAGCTTCTCTAGAGGTTCTACATATGGAGGGGATCACACCTAGCTGTTCTTTGTGAGGGGTTTGTTTCAGCTAGTGTAAAATGTTCAAGGTTCATCAACCTTGCAGCCAATGTCAGATTTCCCTCATAAAGGCTGAGTTATATACATATTACATATACCACATGGATTACCAGTGGACATTTGGGTTGTTTCCCCTTTGTTGCAGATAATGCTGGACAAAGCATGGATGGTACAAGTCTCTTTAGCACATATGCATTTTTTTGGGTATACACCTAGAAGTAGAGTGGCTGAATCAATTTGCTTTTCCTTTCATGTTTTTCATCAGATTTTTTCCATTAATTTTCACTCACTTTTCAGGATGGAATTTTATATCTATTTGTCAAAAAAACTGTACCAGCTTTGAAGTTGCATTTGACTCTTCAATAAGTGTGAAGCATATCACTCAATAACATTGCAGTGCAAGAAAAAAAAGATTATCTCCAAAAATATACCACATGCTTGGCTTAGTAGGAATCCGAATGTGTGAGAGCTAAGCTTGTATCTCACAGGACCTTTAATTTTATATGCCATGGCCTGGGAAAGAATGGACAATTGCAAGACATCATTTCGAAGTGATGCCTCAAAGTGAATATTCAAAGGACATTTTAAAAAACAAAAACCACTCAAGTATAAACAAATGTATTTAGTATTAAAATTATGTAGGAATATATACTTGACTTAGGGAAAAGTTTTGGATGCAATTGGCTCTCCACAACCTGCCATCAGCACCAGAACAGAACAGCCACCTGGAACCAATACATATGGCTGCTTCTAGTGTTTGCTTCTAGTCTCTGCCTATGTCTGCCACAGAACAGTACTTTAGAATCACATAATTTGGAATCAACCTTAATTTTCTTCTTTCCTCCTCAGATGACATGAGGCTGGTTTGGAGACCTAAGGACAGTCACAAGAAAATACATCTAAGAGAATTTCTACCACCTGCCAACTGGAACCAGTCAGGATACAGGATGGGTTACGTGGACAACACTGAAGAGTCTAAGGGAACTTTATGGAGAACTCTCGAACTGAAGACATGGACCATTCATACAAGTGCAGAAGACAAATAGGCAGAGAATTTAGCATAGAAACAATGTGATAAGTGCTTGGAGAGAGGATAAAATGTGAATTTACCAAAGGAAAAAAGAAAGTAGAATACCATTGCAACAATGAGATGTACAAGACGTTATGTCGAAAAACGAACTTTACAACTTTGGTGGGAGGGGGAGAATCAAGTGGGGGGAGGTGGGGGAGTATGGGAAGGGATGGGAAGGGGAAACAAAGAGGAGGCAACAATGCTTGATAAGAAATGTACTTGTTATCTTGCCCATGTAATTGTAACTCTTCTGTACGGTAGTGTCACAATAAAAAAAAAAAAAAAGAAATGAGAGAGGGAAATAGGCATACAGAGGTTCTTCATCCCCAATTTTAGCCACTGTAGTATGTGATAGAATGAGCTTAATGGATGATCTTTAGTCTTCTCATATTAGTATCTCACTTGGGGTGTGGTTCAAGTAGCAAAGCACCTGCCAAGAAAGCTCAAGTATCTAAGTTCAAACACTAGTACCTCAAAACAAAGCAAAATCAAATCATATGCATTATCTGTAAAGAACAATGTTAAATAAACATACTATACAAAATATACTAAGATATAGTATACAATTGAGGGATTCATTAAGAGTATGAAACTACATGATACAACAGTATTCATTATGAAGAGGGAAGATATCCATTAACATGACATATTACATCCATAGGTCAAATTGATACAGATCCAATAATTTCAACACTTCCAAAGACATTTCATAATGTCCAATTCTCCATTGCTGGTGTTTAAGAATCAGAACTCAAAGGACGTGTGTGTGTGTGTGTGTGTGTGTGTGTGTGTGTGTGTGTGTGTGTGTGTGTGATGATTATTGATCCTGGGGCTTGAACCTGGGACCTAGAACTATCCCTGAGCTTTTCTGCTCAAGGCTAGCACCCTACCACTTGAGCCACAGCTCTGTTTCTGGGTTTTTGGTGGTTAACTGAAGATAAGAATCATATGGACTAGGCTGACTTTGACCTGAGGTCCTCAGATCTGTCTACTGAGTAGCTAGGATTATAAACATGAACCACTAACACCCAGCCTCAATGTGAGGTGTTTTTTTTTTTTTTTGCCAGTTCTGTGGTTTGAACTCTGGGTCTGGTTGTTGTCCCTGAGCTTCTTTGGCTCAAAGCTAGTGCTCTGCCACTTGAACCACAGTGCTACTTCCAGCTTTTTCTAGGTAGTTAATTAGAGATAAGAGTCTCATGGACCTCAGTTTCCTGAGTAGCTGAGATTACAGGCATTTATCTTGAATATGATTTTAACTCTCTCAGATTAACATATTAATAAAAGTCAGAGTTACTGCTGGGAAGGTGGCTCAGTGGTAGAGTGCTTGCCTTGCATGCATGAGGCCCTGGGTTTGATTCCTAAGCACCACATAAGCAAAAAGAAAAAAGCCGGAAGTGGCGCTGTGGCTCAAGTGGTAGAGCGCTAGCCTTGAGCTGAAGCGCTAAGGGACAGTGTCCAGGCCCAGAGTTCAAGCCCCACAACCGGACCCAAAAAAAAAAAAAAAGTCAGAATTACTTTAAAAAATCCATCAGGAACAAACCAATGACAACCAGTTGTATCACTATTACTCAATACTATTTTAGCAGTTCTGTTATGTCAATCAAAAACTTAATTTCAAATATATAATAATAAATTATCTGTAAATATCTAGAAAGAAAAATACAATAAAATATTTCATGCCACTCGTCCGGAAATTATGAAGTGATTCAATGTAGCAAGTATATTTTTTAATTACTGGGATTTGAACACAGTGATTCATGCTAGACAATACTCTGTCACTGAGCTATACAACCCAGCTCTTGAACATGTTCCAATAATCTCCAGTGATAGAGGAAAGCAAGTGGTATTATTTCAATGCCAAGAAACACACACAGGTGTACACACATGCACACACACATGAGAATGGGAGGGAGTAGAAATTATAAGTACTTGAAAGAAAATAATCAAAGCTATTAAAGGTAACTGTCTTTGGATTAGGAAATTTTATATTTTCTTCTTTAAATAGTTTTATGTTTCAAACCCTTGACCAATACTTAGGAAAATGTTTGTGAAAGTAATGAATGTGGCAATACTTAGATTCCTCCTACGAGGCAGTGTTCTGTTTCATTCCAATGTGCTAGCCAGGGCATATGATTTCTTAACAAGTCTCAACTCCACTATAGGGAGTAGGAACTCTCACACCTTAGGCTTTTCCATCTCTAGCAATTTGCAGAAATTCTGGGAAGGAACATTTTTATTGACTCTCTGTTTGTTTATCTGGCAATCGAACAAATAAGGAAGATAAAGAAAGCTTTGGAAACATAACTATATCATTTTCTTTGGAAACCAGCTTTGTTTCCTAGCATATGCACAATACGTTCTAAATTCAGAGAGAATGTAGTTTCATTGCAACAGAAAAAGTCCTTCATAAATAGCAACAATTAAATTCCTCTACACATAATTGAGTAGCTTTGTTTGGATTTATAGGCTGGGCACCTTGCTCACCATTGTAACTCTAGCACTAGGTTTCTCTGTGGCCTAATCTGAACAGGGTATCAGAACAGTGGCTGGTGACATGGTTCTCCCATTAACTTCAGAAACATTACATCAGGATGCATCAGCTCTTGATGATAATCATTGGCATCTCTGAGGGGCAGTCAAACATAATGGAGAGAGAGACTTGGGGAACTACAATTAGCGCACCAAATGAGTCTATGGCTCAGAGAGGTGTTTGGTAAGAAAAACAGTGTATTAGAACTTCCACTGGAGAAAGAACTAACCTGTGACACTCAGACTCTGAAAAATAGCAAACCTGGAATGCTTCTACTGAGAAATCCATCCCCCATTTTTTTTTTGGACAAACTACAAAGAAAGTGATGACAGGGTTTTATTCTTTCTGGGAGGTTGGAGGTAGAAATATGTACTTTAATGGTGCCATTATGAATCTAGAGTGATATAGTTCAACTAAGCAGTTATCTCTGAGGGAGGACTGACCAGACAAGGGGTGAGGGATACTGAAAGTTTCCATATCATGATCAGAGTAATTTTTACATGGGTTATATAATGTAAATATGTATTCTCAACACTTATATTCTACATTGAATGTGAATCACACCTTCATTCCTCGATGAAATTGAAGAAAGTACTCTGTGGGCCAGACAACATACATACGTACATACATACATACACACACACACACACACACACACACACACACACAGAGGCATGCACACATGCTTGAACATACACAGAGTCAATTTGTGACTTTTGGCTTGAAATATTACTATAATATCAGTGCTTCTTCCTCCCAAATAATTGGCTTTCAGCACATAGGTTCTAAGAAAGTTATTTTTTCTAAGTAATGACTACCTTTCACCACCAAACCTCCATTACTGCTTAGCTCAGGGGTGCATGGGAGGGAGAAGAGGTAAGGAAAAACCACTTTTCTTTGTATTAATGTCAGCCACTAGATGGCACATCACACACAGAAAGCATGTTTAGAACAAGTCCATGCTGCCAGAACTTGCCAAAGAGAAGCCCAGGAAACACTGGATCTGCAGGTTATGTCCAGCCTTCCACAAATCCCATCCAAAATAGATGAAGAAACTGGCCTTTTTGTCTCTGTATGATTGAAACAGACATGGATGCCTGCAGGGGAAGGCCAAACTCAAGCAGTTCACTGGTGCTGTGCAGACTCATCAAGACCCAATAGCATAGACTGGATGGGTTGTTTTAATTGATGTTTAAAGAAATTGTAGGAATTCAGTTTTATTATTCTTACCTTTTATGGATTCTTCACCCTTGATTATCAGAAGTATGACATAGGGTATGTGAGAATAGAAATGCATACATGCGTGCAGAAAAAGGTACCATTTTTATATTAAGAAATCACTTTGCATTCTCAGCACCAGTGTGAGGAAGCATTCTTCTTTCTTCTTTAGGACTTGAGGGCTTAGCACAGTATATACAGATCTCCACTGGTCCCTCATTTAGAAAGCCATCTTGAATGCTTCTTGCTCCCATTCTTACTGTGACGTCCAAGTGGGAGCTTAGCTCTGCTTTCTTTTTTTTTCTTCTGCTTATGTGGTGCTGAGGAATCGAACCCAGGGCCTCATGCATGCAAGGCAAGCGCTCTACCACTGAGCCAGCCCTTAGCTCTGCTTTCTTAAAGTTAGATGAACCATTCTCGCTTTTCATTTTACTCAAGTCATAGCTGGATGCTAATGGCTCATGCCTGGAACTCTAGCTACTCAGGAGGCGGAGATCTAAAGATCATGGTTCAAAGCCAGCCTGGGCAGGAATGTCTATAAGACTCTTATCTTCAATTATCTACCAAAAAGATAGAAGTAGATCTGTGGCTCAAACGTAGAGCTCTAGCCTTAAACAAACAAACAAACAAACAAAAAGCTCAAGGACAGCACCAGATCCTGAGTCCAGGCCCCAAGACTGGTACAAAAAGAAATAAAAGAAAAATATCTCCAGTCATATCCAATCAGGGACACACAAGGGCAACTGAGATATTAAAGGAGCTCATATGACTATGAATGAGTTACAAGTGTTTTTCTTTCCCTAGGTTTATGCTGGTGTTGTTGTCTTCTCTTTTTCTAGTGCTGGGGGATTGAACCTAGAGCATGCTAGGAAAATGCTCTCTATCACTGAGCTAAGTCCTCAGTCATGGGAGGTTGTTTCTGATGAGACAGTCACTCGCAGCCCTAAAAGCAAACACAAATTGCCTCTGCTTCCTACCTGAGTCCTAGCTGAGCCTGGGGTGTATGCTTCTGAATCTATATAAAATCCACAACAGTAATTATATTCACATTAAATATCCAAAGAGAGCTATGCATTCTTCTCCAGGAAGCAATAGACCTTCTGTCTGAGGGGTACTCCATGTCAGGGAACACATTCTGAAAACAGAAATGGACTTCATGGTCAAAATTAAGTTATTTTTACTTTGGAGCTTTTCAATGGTCTTGATATATCCCAAGCAACTCAGTATATTTCACAATGTATATTTCTCTGGGCCAGGTGTGGTGATACACATGTATAATCCCAGCACTTGAGAGGCTGAGACAGTAGGATCATAAGTTTGAGGCCAGACAGGCAAAGTTAAGGGACAGTGTCTCCTTAACCAAAAGACAACCAAAAACCAAAGGCGCATTTAACTTACAAAAACATGAATGAAAAGCAGATTCTACCTAAACATTACTAGTAGTCTACTAGCATATTTTCTCCTTGTAAAGTAGATAGATACTGATAAAGGTACTTTAAATTATGCTGAATAGAAAGTGTATGCACTTAATATCTGAATGTGAAGTCATTAATTCACTGTCACCATAAACTCTTTGATCTGCCTAAATTATATCTTCATCCAGTGTTGGGCAGTCAAGGTTGCTACAAGGCTGAAAAGCATGTTTGAGATCTCTCTTCTTTTAACAAGATAGCTTGGATTCCTCCATACCATTGGTATAGTTAGGTAGTTCCTTGTTTCTGGGTAGCTTCAGGTTGGATGTCTAATTATTGCCAATAATAGTTTCCCTTATCTTTTAGACTATAAGAAACACAAAAGTGACTTATTTATCCCCAAAAGGAACCTGAACTTCAACATGACTGAATTATTTGCCTTTCATTTAGAAAAGGATGCATTCATTGCGATTGTTTCTCAATCCAAAAAAGATATGGGGCCATTTAGTTCGTGTTTGCTTTTTAGTTGTAGCCTGGCCAGACAGAGTAGTTCGTCCATTATTGTATCACAGGAAGTGTGGAAATGGAGCCTTATTGTCTGGGCACAGACCTTAGAACCTCTTGGAACTATTTGGTGTCTGCCTACAATCTTCATCCTCTACTGATGGCTCTATGGCTCTACTTCGTGTGCTCCAGCTCTCCTAACCTGAGTTCTCTTGGAAAGGGCTTTAGCTTTCCTGTATACCCTCATCACAACTCTTTTGTTTTTATCCCCCCTTCTTTGTTGCATGCCTATTGGTAAAAACAGACTTAGGCCTGGTTCTCTGTCTATAACTGCTCTTCATTGAGTTCTTACTATAGATGCTAGTTAATATCTTTTCAGTGTTAATAGTGGTAGAAGATGGACTCAAGATTTTAATTTTAACCCATCTGATCCTCATGAGGTAAAAACCCTGTGGGATTAATTCTACTCCAGCCCCAGCCCAGGAGTACTACAGTTATCCCTATTTTATAGATGAGGAAATTGAAGCACAAGGAATGCAATTAACAGTTCAGAATAAAGGTCAGAAGTGGGAGGTAAGGAGAGTTGGGGTCTGAATTTTCCTGTCTACTAGTCTAGGGCCTTAGCCTACTATTGCTTTAATTCCTTTTCCCAGTCCTCTCAACCTAGTCTCAGCTCTTCACAGGGACAGAGAAAGCCTTGGAACACATCTGCTGCTTAGTGTTTATGCTATCATTCTTTTTGGTCTGTTATTTTTAGCTCTTATTTCCTGTGCTTTGTTTCTTGGGCTCATAAGCTGATTTTTAATAGCTGTGTTCTAGTTCTCCCCGTTTAAGTGACACATGTGGGCTTATTTAACTGGTTCTCTTTAAGCCCTTATTTAACTAGCTTCCTTTAAATCTTTAAATCCACGTGGAATTATCTCTGTGCTGGAAATTGTGTGACACTAATACTTCCTCCTACTTAGAAGATATTCCAAAAGTTTAAATGTTTATTAGATCAAGTCTCCTTTTTAACTGGTACAGTTGCCAAGGCAGACGTGATATCAACTTTTTGGTCAGGAGATCAAGATTCAAGCAGTATGTAACTATCCAAGATCACAATGTAGAGGCTTTGTCGCTTTAAACTTAAACACACTGTCTCAGGAGATCAAGATTCAAGCAGTATGTAACTATCCAAGATCACAATGTAGAGGCTTTGTCGCTTTAAACTTAAACACACTGTCTCTAGGTCTGCCTCTGTTTTTCTCTCTTTCTTTCTAAACATGCACACACATACACACACACTCACCCTTGAAAATTATTTTAAAATGAAGAAAGCTTATTCCATTAATTTCCTAGCAAGTAAGAGTTAAAAGCTCTCCTCATATTCTGATTGGAAAACCAGGAAGATGTTATTCCTCTTCTTCCTAAACTCTCTTGAGAATGTCCCAGTAGGGTCTTATTCTGGGTGAATCTCGGTATTTAATTTTTCAGGGATCAGGTTCCACTTGGAAATTTGAAGAGAGTAATCCTAGACTTTAGTTTGACCTTACCACATGGCTCCACAAGCCAAGTTGTGAGATTTCTTAGGCTTATCAAGGAAGCAGCAGTTGTCCCAGAGTAATCTACTAACTCCAAGGTTAAGCATCCCTAATCTGAAAACCTAAAATCCAACAATGCTCAGAAGCAGAATAAAAATGTCAAAAAGTTTGAGATTTTGGTACATCTTAGATTTTTAGATTGGGGTTGCTGAACTGTACAGATATTTCAAAATCCTTTCAAGATTCTGAAATCTCAAAAGGTCTGCTTTTCAGCATTTCAGAGAAAGGATACTAACTTGTAATAAAGTGATATGAAATCACTACAAAATTTCTGAAAACTGAACAAATATCAATTACATATGATATGTTATAAGATATACGTAAAATACATATCATGAAGTGTGTGCATGACTTCTGATTCTTGAGGAAACCTGGGTCCCCTCACCAGCACACACCAACTGGTTAATGACATCGTGCTCACTTCCTTGTTCCCATATCTCACGTTTCTGAACTCAGAAACTCTCACTCACATTTCCTTCTGGACTCTGCATTTCCCTATGGTCTCCACAGTAGTTAGTGGCTGGCTTCACAGCCCCAGGAAGACTCTGACTAGCCTGATTACACTGCTCCAATTCCTTCTCCCATCTCCTCCCACCAAGCCATGCCACCTATAGGTAGGGAAGGTGGGAGCTGCTGGAGGTAGGACAGGAAAAAGGAACCTTCTTCTATTCCCAAGTTGTATTCACTCTCTCCTCTAGTTAATTTTCTGGAGTGTTTGTGGGTGAGTGGGGAGGGTTGAAGGTAGAAGATGCTATTTGGTGTGTAGCAGTTATAAACTTACATGGATTTTACTGGAAGTGTTCATAAACTCCTCTGTACTTAAAAGATAATAAAAAATAAATTTAAAAATCCTTCTGCTTTATTTAAATATTTAAAGGATTCAATTTTTTAAGAGAATGTCTCTGAAAATTTTGAAAGTGCTACAACAGAGAGAAAAAAATATCATAGGCTTGTAATCTTGAGGAGTATTCTGTACCTTAAAAAAAATCTTTATTACTTCTTGGTTGGCAAGTGAGATACAGTAAATATGTTTTCCACAAAGAACAGCCTCCCCCACCGCAAGTAAGATGCTTAAACTCAAGGGAAAAAACAAAGCTCTAGCAGAATATATGTAGAGATTTAGACAAGAAAACATTGCTCCTGCAGGCTTCACAAGCTTGAAAGAAAAATAACACATAAGAAACTATATGTGTTGAATAATAACTAGGCAACTGATCAACAAAAACAAAGCATTCTAGTTAAAAAAGGACTGAAATAATGTTAGCTATTGGAATAATTACTGTGGAAGACAATGGAATTGTTTGGGAGTGTGGGTAGAAAAGTGAGCTCAGTCCTTGTATATGCCAGCTCTTATGTGAGTCATTTTTTAAGCCTAAGTTTCCTCATCTACAGAATAAAAGCCCAAGACAAGATGATTACTAAAGACTTTTAAACTCTAGATTTGCCTAAAAATCCCATTGTTCTGATTATTTCTTCTATGCAAGAATCTCCATATGTACAGACACATTATCTTCAAGTGAGTCATACGTGTCTTTAAATTTAACCTAACAATGCCAGGAGAATAAAAGGAACCATTTATTTTGTGATTTTCTTCTGTATTCATGGGTAAAAGTAAGAAAGCAGAAAATGGGGGAAAAGCATAGAATTCTACCTTTAGGAAAGAATCCATGAAATGTCCTATGTAGGAGAGTGAAGCTTTGCCTATTTGTGGTTCCAGAGCACAAGGAACCAGAGTGTACAGAGCCTTCGTTTTCAGCAGAAAAACATACAATCAGATTGCCATGGCTAGAGAGTTCCAGAACAAGCTCTCAACTTAACTGCCCTTTGGCTGCCAGGCCCAGGCCAGCTCTCTTGTCAGTCTACCTCTAGCTCTCACAAGTAACTGGGCAGTCAGTGGTATACAAGGCGGGGCCAGGTGTAACCCGGCAGTCGAAGTCATGGTCTTTACCTTGCATTCTTGTTCACAAAGAAGGAAGTTACCCATATTAGGTTGTGTAATGTTATTCTTTTAAATTTTCAATCCATGTGTGAGCCTGGGGCATGGACTATATAACCAGCTGCCACTGGACACATTCCACTGTCAAACACAATCAGTGTTCTTCAGATCATTTTGATCCTAAAGAGAAACAGCATGCCTAAGGTCAATGAGGCATCTCTGTTACTTTTGTTTTTTTCTTCCATGAGTGCAACTGTAACCAAGAGAAGGGCTTTAGAAAGGTTAAGAATCCATGTCTGTGCTGAGTTTAAAGTAAGTGTAGGAGAATCAATCACACTGATTATTAAGGTAGAATGTCTTCAATACAATAGATGTCTTCAGTAAAGGGTGTTCTTTGAGCAGAAGCAGGAATGTGTAGACTAGAAAAGCACAGGGACTATACAAGGCAGAGCTGAACAGGATTACTCAAGAAATGTCACCCAGCACCACTCTGTAGAAGGTCTTTCCTGATGGAAAGAAGTTTGAACTTACATTGGGAAACAAACAAGGAAAAAACCCCAGGATGACTTGAGAATGGTATGTGAGGGGGATTATAGACTAAGGCTTTGATTTATGAAAAATCTTAAGGTTACATTTGGGGTGCTTTCCACTTGTCAGGAGAGGGCCTGTGGGGATGCTCGGTAGGAGATCTTGGTGGAGGATGCAGCAATCTTAAACAAGGATGAGAAAACTGTGTTTCTGAAAAATATAGCTGCTCTTGACAACTTTTGCCCATTGACTACAGTCTATGAAACGAATCCAGAGGAGTAAAGGACAGTAGGAGAAGGATGAATAAGAAGAATGAGATTCCTAATGTGAGCGCAAAGCTCAGATTCATTAATTGAAATTGTTTTTACAGGAGCGCCTTCTGCTACCTCCCTTTCACCTCAGGGTGCTTGGTGTATCAGTCTAGTACCTAGTCTAGCATCCTCTGGCAGCCCACACCCTAAACACATCCTTAACCCCTTGTTCTTATAGGAAAGATAATCAACTTCTTTTAGAACAGCCAGTGCTAAACTAGAAAAGGCCATAGTGTCCCAGCTCTTCCTGCACCATTCACAACTGACACCAAAGTAACCACCAAAATCTGCGCAGCCCCTCTCTCTTCCCCACACCTGACATGGAATCAGGTCACATCCTGCTCAAATAAAAAAAATGTTTTTGGCCGGGGTGGGGGTGCGGGGGTGGGGGTGGGGGAAGGAAATGGGAAGGGATGGGAAGGGGAAACAAAGGAGGAGGCAACAATGCTTGATAAGAAATATACTCATTACCTTGCCCATGTAATTGTAACCCCTCTGTACGGTATTTTCACACACACACACACACACACACACACACACACACACACACACACACACAAATATCTGTGGCTTTCCCTGGGTCTTAAGCACATTGCTTAGACTTTTACTGTTAGCATTTCCTGGATGCCTAATATGAAAATGTCTAAGATTCATAATCCATGCTACAGTGACATGGGTCACACATTTGTAATGCAGAAGAGAGAACAATGTTCTATAGATGAGTATAGGACAATGTTCTGTACATGAGTACATTCCTAGGCATAGCAAAGTGCACTATAGCAGCCTTTACCTAATACCACATCCTGCTCTGGTTAGAAACAGGAACCATTCTGTTCTGTTTTGGAAAGGTAATCAACTCATTTGTGACAGCCTTTTTTCCCCCTCTGTAGTAGTACTAAGTTTGAACTCAGGGCCTTGTGTTTGCTAGGCAGGTGCTCTATCACTTGAGCCATACTGTCAGACCTCTTTTGCTTTATACTTCAGATAGGGCCTTGTGTTTTTGTCTTGGACTAGGATTCTCCTTTCTCTGCCTCCTACACAGCAGGAATGACAGGCACACACTACTATGTCTGTCTTGTTGGTTGAAACGGGGTTTTGGTAGCTTTTTGCCTGGCTTGGCCTCCAACCATGATTTCCTCAATCTCTTCCTCCTGAGAAGCTGAGATTACAGGCATGAGCCACCATGCTATTCTAAGGTATTCTTTTTTTTTTTTTAATTGTGAGAATAGTGTACAGAGGAGTTACAATTACATGGGCAAGATAACAAGTACATTTCTTATCAAGCATTGTTGCCTCCTTGTTGTTTCCCCTTCCCATACTCCTCCCTAAGGTATTTTTATAATATCCAACTAGTCATGCATTGTTTCTTCGCCTCTTGCATAAATGATGGTGAATTTAAATTATGGACAATGCTATTTTTTGTTCCCTGCTCTATTTTTCCTGCTGGAAGGGTTAGAACAGGCCCCATGCAGTATGAGATTCAGGGGGTAAACTACAATTTCATCATCTAAAATATTTTATTGCATGGAATTATCTGTCTGCCTTGAAAGAAGAAACCATCTACTGCAAGGAGATCCGTGTCGAGGGCAGTCCTTCTGTTCTGTGATGCTGAGGAGTCAAAAGTGATGACCACCAGACTCATTCCCCTGCCTTACCTCTAACAATGGTCCATTACAAATACCGTATACCACTGCCCACTGAGTCCAAGTCCTCGGTCCTCTCCTTTTCCACCTCGCAGTTTTAACACCTCTTTACCTTTTTATCTGTTCTCTTCTGTTCCAGGAATGGGCAAGACCATTCCCATGGGAGACTGTTGGCACTACTAGTTCCTGGAGCCTAGTCTCTTCCTGACTTTCCACGTCCTCCTCCTCCTTGTCCTCCTCCTCCTTTTTCTCCTCCTCTTCCTTCATTTTAAATGTGATGTACATCTTCTGACATTCCTTAGCCCATGTCTCTTGCTTTCTTTTTTGTTCTTTTAAAACTATTTTCATTTTATTTTCAAGGTCATGTACAGAGTGGTTATAGTTACATATGTAAGATAATGAGTACATTCCTTGTAGAACCTTTTACCCCCTCCCTCATTTTCTCCCACTTTCCTCCCCCCAACTCCTCCCCCGCCAGTTGTACAGATCATTTCCACTATGTGATTTCTTTTTTCTTTTGTGTTTTTTCTTCTTCTATGGTTTATCCCCTCTTGTCACTGCATTTGATTTTGGTACCATGTTGAGACAAAGGACAAGGGAGGAACCAATGTAGCAGGATGTTCACAAGACGATATGGTGGAAATGATCTGTCTCTTTCATTCTAGAAATTTGTCCAGGACCTCATTGTTCCCACTGTAAAGCACAAGTTCTACCCAAACAGCAATTGTGCACACTGGCCCTACTTCTGATCCTTTTGGACCCCTCGTAAGAGAGTAGGGGATGGGGATGGGGATGCCTTTATAAGCAAATGGATAGCAAGTGGGACCCTCACTTCAGCAGCCCACCGAGGGTCCTGGTCAGACACACTGACATGTGTGGCACAAGCAATACCCCTCACACTTCCCCTGCAACATTTATATGCATAGGTACAATTTTTCAATGCATGTGCCATAACAATTGATTTTGGCCGGTTTATTGCCAAGACTTTAGTTTCAGTGAAAGCATTAGACACACAACAGAAAAAAAAAAAAGAATGAGAATAGTAGGCTCCTGAACACAAAGTTATTAGAATGTAGGCAATAAAGGAGATAAAAACCTCACATTGAGGCTTATATGTATTGACTTTGGAAGCTGTTTAAAGGGAACAGCATAACAGGCAGAACAGAAGCAAATTGCGCCACCAACAAAATGTGAACACTGTGCATTTTTATGATTATCCACTGTGATTGATTTTCCTCTGCAGTGTAAGACAAATGACAGGTGAGTCAAAGCTCAGAATTTTCCCTTAATACTCTTAAGTCAGGCCTCAAGAACTGTATAGCTGTCAACAATGTGTTCATCCTTTGAAATGAAATTGATGTGTTCGGTGCCAAATGTATACCTCTGGGATGTCTATGTTATTCACATGGCCCTCCATCAAGGACCACTGCTTCAGATGCTTGTTGGTACAGCACAGAAAAAGCACAGTGAGGCCCTGAAATGAGCATCTGCGCTTCTTTATGTGTGAACTTTGGCCTTACCAGCAGTCTTAATCACACAGTCAAACTCATGCTAATGGTTTCCAAATTTCCAGTTAAATTTGACTTTTAAAAATCCAACCCCCCCCCCACACACACACGTCACTTGCATGCTTAGATATTTATTAGGAACCATTTATTAGGAACTATTTACTTCTCATTCTTTTTTTTAAATCTCCCATACACCACTCAGAATCATTTCTGCCAGTTCTATTATCAGTGGCCAGAACTCCAGAGACACACAGTTGCTTTCACATTTTCAGGTAAATGAACTGAGACTAGAAGAAGCAGATACCTCTCTCAGAGCTATCAGGATAACAGAGGCAGGATTTGGATATACACCAGGTTTACCCCTGGTCTCAGGTGTTGAGCACCATCTCCTTACCTCTGTTAATAGCTTCAGCCCTACGTAGTGACTTAAGTCAAAATGGAGGCATCACTTGTTATGCTGCTATTGCTCACCCAATTCCTCTATTAGGAATGTGGCTGCAAGACCTGTCTGTCTCCACTTCTCTGAGATCCCTACACTCTAGTCTACTACCATTCCACTCTAAACCACCACCAACTATTGAGGCAGGCTCTGAGACGTACTGAGATTCTTCAGGAGACTGTATTTCTAATAATCACAAAGAAAACGATAATGGGAGTAGTGAAATCATGTGGCCAGATTTGGTTAGAAGGAGGTTCTCAATCATGCCTGTTCTTATCTCCCTGCTTTTGATCACAGTGTTATTTTAGGATTGTCTGGCCTTCCCCCACGTACTGATTACTCATTCAACAAGGCCCAGCTCAAATATTATTTTCTCAGTTTCTTGCTCAAAACTCCTACTGCCCTCCCATTACAAAACATTCCCTTTTTGTTCACTATTCTGACTATCTGCTGTGGGTTAAAGCCAGTGATCCTTTATTAGAACTGGACTGTCAGCATATTAAGCAGGGACAGGGGAGTCATAGTCATTTGTATCTATAATCATCAGCCCTGAGTATGCTTTTGATCATTTACCTTTGACATAAAAAAGAATCTCATGACATTTTCCTTGACCAAACCATGAATTAAAAAAAAAACAACTATGAGACAAACTCAAATTTATAATGTTCACTTTTTATATTTTCTTCAAATTCTATACCTTAATGGATTATCTGACATATTTCAATTCCAGTCTGAGGAACCATAATTAATAATTAACACTAAGATACAAGTGTAAGGATGTTTGTTGTTGTTGTTTAACAGGGTCTTGTTGTCTGGCCTGGAATTCACTATGTAGTCCAGTTAGTACAAAACTCAAGATCCTTTTACTTTTACATCCTGCAGGCTGGGACTGTGTGTAATATCATAACTGGCTAAGTGTCTATCATAATTTTAATCTCTCTGAATAGTCTCAGCATAGTATATAAATCATGATACTAAAATAGTCAGTATAAACAAGAATAGTTGAGATATGTACCAGAAATATGAGAGACAATATTCTCATTCATTCCTAAGAAGGAATGTTATCTTTTCAATAATCACCCATCTGTCTTTTAAAGTTTTCATACCATCTGCCAACATCATATCACACATCTGACTGACACTTTTTCTTTTTGACCAAAAGTGATGAATTCTGGAGAAGAAACTTAGCAGAAAGTGATACTTTGATTCCCATCCCAAATTCATTTGCCAGAGAAGGAATCCTATCTTCAGTCAAATAACTCATATCATCAAGTCTTTGAAAATGTATGTAAAACATAGTTAATCTGTATATTTAGGGATTATTTTTATTATTATAAATTTCATCATCTATCTATCTATCTATGAAAAGAAAGAAAATAGTCCAATGACTCACCTCCTTAATACAGGCCCTGCAGCAGCTTGTACAGTAATTAATTCAGCTATTGTGTTTTTATTTCTTCCTCTTTTCCTCCCTCATCATTTCAAAATGATTCTCTGATACTTTATCATTTGACCACTATGGATGTCAGCCACAATGCCATTATCAGACCTCAGAACATTGACAATAATCCTTACCCACCCATTCATCCTACACAGATCCAGCTGAAGAGACACAGATCATCTCCCTACAAACAGCTCATAGGCTGTTTATAAATTATCCATAAGCAATTGGCTATTCCACTGTACTTTTAGGACAAAGAGAAACAGCTTGTTCCTTGAATGCTGCCTACCTTTGAATTCCCTTTTTGGAGAGGCGATGGTGCCCATCACATTCCTTTATGTACACAGAAGGCAAAGAACAAAATCACGGCCCCCACACCCTTGCTGCAGCCTCAACTACCATCCCTTCTTGAGCCCTGCCAAGGCTCACAGATGAGGATCTTTTCATGCATGATTTCAATGTTGATTTCCCAATAATTAGTTATTCCAACCAGTCATTTATCATCTCTTGTAATGATTTTCTTAGGAATATTGGCATTAAAGAAAAGAAAAGAATCTGAGAGCTCCTACTCTAAAAAAAACAACAAACAGCCTAAATACCATTTTATTCAAAAGCTTGATTTAGATTTATTTATTTTTCCTTACACATTAGAGACAAAAGGACATTTATGGGATGAAGTATCTTTGTCTGAGCCAATACTGAATTATCCATTGTTGGCACTCAGCCTCTCCTGGGAGGTG